AGAAAGCAAATCACAAACAAACCATGACCGATGAATGACTGAATGCATGAATGAATGTTGACTCCTGCAACCAGGGTGTGGCAGCATCTGTCCTTTTATCTCCAAAACCCCACTAACGAGCCCCAGCTGCATCGTTAATCTTGCATCCCGAAAAGACTCATAGAAGACTGCTGCTGAGTCACAACACTGAACTATAAGTTTTGCTATTAAGGATGCCTGATAATAAACTTGGTCTGAAAGAACATCCTAAGCGTAGAGTTTAACTGCATGCCCCAAGCTCTGCATCGCTGGGGCAGAACCCTTTTCCTTCTTGGAATTCCATGAACTGATTGATGGGGAATTCCAGGATTTTATATAGTTATTATGTAGGGTGGCAGAGCCTAGTTCATTGTGCCTGGGCTTCAGAGCTAAGCATCAATAAATTTCATTTTTACTTGCATGAGAGACCACCAAGGAATTCTAAGGCTGCAGATTAAATCAGAAAACCAAATGCTAGCAGATTTTAATGGTAAATTACTTCTGTGCTATTGTACACAAACCTTCATGAATGAGTCCAGCACATTAGTCTCAAGGCATTTTGATGATAATTTCTCACTGCCGTGTAGCAGATGGAAACTATCAAACATAGAAAGATGGAGCTTTCCTGCCCTTAACTGTACTGTTTCTCTTTCCAAAGGGAGAAATGTCAGTGTATAATTATTGGAATATGTATATCTTTTTGTTCTGGCTATGCTGCTAAGAACAAGAAGATTTGGGGAGAGAAAGAAATCCAGCACTTCTGCCAGCTTAAGTAGGAAGTCACATATTTCCATGTATGCTATTTGCTTTCCCTTTCTCATCATCTATCACTGTCACTGTTTGCTTTGCTTGCAGGATTATGATCAGCAACAAATTACAAGTCAAAGTGAAGAAATTGAATACATGCAGAAAGCATATCATGGCCAGGAGACAGACACTATCAAATTAGAAGAAAGAAATGTCTTCTGCAGTGGCTACAATGTTCGTATTCTAATAAACAGGTACCGTATTTTGGAGAGTATAACACGCACCAAGGTTTTGAGGAGGCAAATTAAAAAGAAAAGTAGGGAGGTAGATAGAGGGATAGAGATGGAGAGAAAGAGAGAGAAAAACAGTAGGTAGGTAGGGAGATAGAGAGAGTAGTTAGGTAGGTAGGTAGATAAAGGAGAGAGAGAGAGATGGAGAGAGAGAGAGAAATACAGTAGGTAAGAAGGGAGAGAGTGTGTAGATAGGTAGGAAGAGGGATAGAGAGAGAGAGAGAAATAGAAAGAGAGAGAAATACAATAGATAGGGAGAGAGAGTAATTAGGTAGGTAGGTAGATAAAAGGAGAGAGAGAGAAATAGAGAGAGAAATACCGTAGCTAGGTAGGTAGAGAGAGAGTAGGTAGGTAGGTAGGTAGGTAGGTAGGTAGGTAGGTAGGTAGATAAAGGGAGAGAGAAATAGAAAGAGAGAAATACAGTAGATAGGTAGGGAGAGAAATTAGGTAGGTAGGTAGATAAAAGGAGAGAGAGAGAAATAGAGAGAGAAATACCGTAGCTAGGTAGGTAGAGAGAGAGTAGGTAGGTAGGTAGGTAGGTAGGTAGGTAGGTAGGTAGATAAAGGGAGAGAGAAATAGAAAGAG